CTGATTGACTAACGGTTGTACAAACACAAGAGATGGGTGTGACTGTCATATGAGGTGTATGTGGAGGAGGGGGGCCTAACGAAGGACAGTTGGAGAAGGGATATGGAGGTAGAGCATTGACAGGATGGGGAAGTCTGGTGTTATTGGTTGAAGATATTTTGATCAACGGGACTGGGGAGAAATGTTCACATGTTGAAATGTTCACATTTTAAGCAAAACAATGTGATTGAATGTATATACAAAAAGAAATAAATTTAATAAAAATTAATTAATTAATTAATTTTTTAAAAGTAGTCCAACCCTGTAGATTCTCTCACATCCTTCTTTTCTGCTCCATCGTCACTGTCATTACTCTAGTTTTATCTTCTTTTTCTGTCTGTTGTACTAGGCTACCACTTCTATATGCTTCTGATATTTGTCCACATAGTTTTTCCTATGTGTGGCTATAAAGGTAACCTTCCTAGTATACTGATTGTACCATGTTGCTCTCCTACTCTGTATCCTCCAAGGCCTCTCTTTTGGCCATTGGATTATGTAAAGTAAATGCTTTAACCTTACACTGAGGGCCCACCATGCTCTTGTACCATTCTAATCTTACTTCCTATGTGCTTTAAATGAACTGTTTTCTCCCTTCAGCATATTCCTGCCCTTTCTACTTTCATCCATGTAAAGCTGCCATGACTTCTCCAGTCTTCTCCAGTTAAAATTGTACCAAGTCTTCCAAAATTTAACTCAGAGACCCTGTAAAGCCTTCCTTAAGTCAACAAGCTGTGTTTTTTTCTTCCTTTAACTTTCATTTTGTTAGCATTTCTTTACTGATAGTTATGAATGTTCTGTTTAGTGTTTAGGTATTTTTCTTTCATCTTCTATCACATTGTAAATTCCTTGAGCACAGGGATTATATCTTCTTTGTTTTGGCATGTTCCACATTACCTCTCCAATATACATAGCAGCTCCATAAATGTTTGGATTTTAAACAATGGTAAAAACTGCCAACTTTTGTTTTAGAGTTCCTAATGACTCCATTTTGGGAATGAATACTGTGCTAAGGTACAAATGGCAGATGACCCAAGTGTTATGGCATATTCATTTTTACTCACTCTCCACATTCAATCCATCAACAAATACAATCAGCTCTTGTTCTTCAAAATACCTTTAATCAAACCTCTTTTTCCTATCCTCTGCTGGTACTTCCTTCCTATAGATCTTTTATGCTGGTTCTCTGGCTTCTGTTATCCCTGCTACCCCTAGCCCATTAAATACATCAGCCACCAAGTGAGATATCCATAGAACTTAATTCATGTTGACTTAGCCACCATGGTAGATCCTGGTAAGATGCTATAGTCTGCAGGCCAGGATCATGTGGGAGGCCTGGGTTCAATTCTTAGACTAACATAAAGGCCAGACTTTGTGGTGCTCACTTATAATTCCAGAAATTATGAAAGCTGAGGCAGGAGGATTGAGAGCTTTATGTTGTCCCTGACAAAATAACAAGACCCTGTCTTTTTTTTTCCTTTTTCTTTTCTTTTCTTTTTTTTTTTTTGAAAGTGGGCATAGTGGTGAGCACCTGTAAGTTGTAACTGAGAGATTAAGACAGAATGATCACAATGGCCAGACCCTGTCTCTCAAAAAACAAAACATTTAGACCATGTTAGTCCTCTGCTGAACAACCTCTAACAGCTTCCCATTTCACTGAGTATAAAATTCAAACTGCTTATCTTGGCCCCTGGAAACTCCATGATTTGGACTATGCACTTCCCAAACCTTATCTCCCGCTATTATCCATCTTGTTCATGGAGCTTCAGCTCTGCGACTTGGCAAGTATCCCACAAGTGTCCGCCCTTCCTCGTTGTCATGTTTGTTTCAAGTAGAATGAGTAGGTGCTATAGTTACTATTGAGATCCTAGCTATTGTTGGCTTTTGTCCCAGTATTCTTTCTTAAGTAGCAGAGATGACTAGGGGTAATGGCCAGAAATAATTCTAATAGCTTTGAGACTTGACTCTGGGGAAGAAAAATAAAAAACCTTTTGTAGATTCCATCAGATTCTGAAAAGTTGTATGCACAATGCTGAGTTTGAGCTGAAAGAGATAATGCACTTAAAGAGGCAGAAAGGAAACCTTATATTATTCTCATAGCCTGCTCCTCAAGAGAGGCATAAATATTACTTATAGAAACTAGAACTGTTGACAAACATCCTCAACCTTTTTATTTTTGTCATTTTGGGTGTTGGTTACAAAGTTGGGCATCATAACAAAAGCTTTAAGGTCATCCATTGAGTTTGATGGTTCTCTGTGAATTTTCTACCATCCCTATATGTCCCTCTGAAGTCTCCCTCAGTCCTCTGGTGTTGCACCCATATATTTTATTCATAAAGGACAGAGGGAAAAGCATTCTTTCATTATTCAGATTCTTGACTTGCTCTCCTTGCTTCTAGCATTTGTGAAATATACACTATCCACTCACTGCCTTTAGGATCATTGACAAGAAACAGTTTGTGATGGTACTCTAATCCTTTCTTTTGCTAATAACACAAAATGCCTGAGTGGATAATTTAAGAAAATAGACATTTACTCAACTCATGGTTTGGAAATCCAAGAGTGAGGGGACTCATCTGGCAAGGATCTCCTTGCTGATGGGTAACATGGCAGAGGGCAAAAGTGAGCATGTGTGTCTCTGTGTCTCTGTTCTTTCTGGTCTCATTTCTTCTCCACCATGAATCAATCATGGAGACCCAACCATAATGCCTATCACTTCCCAAAGACCCCATCTTTCAACATTATAATCATATTAAGTCTCCTATTAATACCTTCACAATAGAACCAAGTTCCAACACTTAAATTTTGGGAGACACATTCAAACTGTATCAGAAGGGTATGTTTTGTCAGACTATCTATAGAAAAAATAAAAACTGAACTCTAGCCCATTCTGAAAGAAAAATCAGAGTACTTAGTTTCTTTCTTTCAGAATTATTTTATTATTTATTTATTTACTTAAATTTGACCATAGAGGGACAGAGAGAGAGAGAGAGACAGAGACAGAGACAGAGAAGTAAAGTAAGAAAGCAAGCCACCAGGTCTGGGACTCAGATCACAGTCGGCCATGTGTGAGTCCAGCACCCATAACCACCACATCACCTGCCAGCCCTGAGTACTGTATTTCTAACCTGTTAAGCTTTTATTTCTCTACCTTCTGATATTTGCAAGCTCTTCTGAGTTATATATTTGTTATGGTTATGGTTATTTCTTTCTAGCCCTTGAAAAAAAGATGTGTCTATATTTTAAATATTCCAATATAACAATGGAAAAATGTAGGCAAAAGGTCAAATATAATGACTCTGAGCAGATACAGTTATTGCTCAGTACTAAAAATGCCAAAAAGTGGGCAAAACCAGGAACCCTGAGGCAGGGCCAATCACTGACAACAGCCCAGCTCCCCCCAACCCCAGCACTCCCCCATCAGTAAGCCCACAGGCAGCTTCCACCTCGCCAACAGAACCCAGTTCCATCTCCAACCCCCTGGTGAAACCGGGGACCCTGAGACAGGGCTGGTCACTGGCCACAGCCCACCTCCCCCAACCCCAAAGTTCCCCCTTTCAGTAAGACACCTGAATAGAAGACACCTCCTGTGGAGAGTACTTTACCAAATGCAGTATAAGAGAGACTATGGCACACAACTGACCACAGTAAAAGAGAAACACACTTGTTCCAAGTCAAAGAAACATTCTCTAGAAAGCTATCCAAAAGTGAATACATCTCCCAATGGCTAGAAGTAGAAGAGAAGCCTCAGGTCTGAATAAACCAGGAAATATGTCTCCATCAAAAGAGCACAACAACTCCATTCCATCTTTCAAAAAAATAGAGGAAGTTATCAAAATGTCAGAGAAAGAATTTAGAACATTCATGGTGACAAAACTCTATCAGCTGGAAGATAAAAGAGACATCGAACTATAAGAGATTAGGAAGTCCTTCCATGATATGGAAGAAGAAATGGACACTATAAAAAAGAATGAGATG